TTATTTACATTTTTAAACATACACTTTATAAAAAATTATAAAAAAATACATTATTATTATTATTATTATAGTATACACAGAGAAATACGGCATGTAACATATTATGTATCATAAACGTACTAAGCCTGGATGAAATAGATGCTTTTTTGAAGGTACGGAAATACTAGTATCGTGTGATCGTGATTGCAGAGCTAGAGAAAAGAAATAACAATTGTGGGATAAGCACCACCAATATAGTATCTAGGTCAAAATTCTGTGTCTGGGTGTGATTTATATATAAAATGTATTTGTTTAGAAACTTATAAGTATGTTTATCAACAGCCAGGTTATCTTAGTACAGTCTCCGCCTAGTTTGGGATCAGACGGTCGTGTTTGAGATGTGCGATGTTATTATTATTTTAGTAGTATTTAAATATCTTTATCAATAGTCTTTGCCATAGCCCCAGTTCTGGCTAGTGTGAAGAGGGAAGAGGTTAGGTGTATTAAGATATTCTTCGGTACCTCGTTATACACAACAATTTTTATGTTTACATCGGATTTGAACCAAAGATGAATCTTTCGGATTTGAACTAAAAATGAATTTGATGTTTATTGGCATGTGTCACATCAACAGCCTTTAATAATCCACTGCTGGACATAAACCTCTCCTTAGAAAGGAGGTTTTGGCCTACTATACCACGCTGGTCAGGCGGGTTGGTATAGGGTTTGTGTCAAGTTTTCCTTCTGTCTGCAGTGCTGTTGTTCTGCGTAGATTTCTCCCTTAGTCTGCTCTTATGACATCTACGGGATGAATAGGGTTGGTGCCACTCTGTATTCTTAATCCGTCACCACACGGACCTTGGAGCGTGTATTAGCTAGGTATTATACTTAAATATTCCAACTGTGTTTAGTAACTATGTCGTGTAGTATATTTAACATTCGTAAAGTACTGTCATTTTACCTAAAAACATATACACATTCCAATTATATTTAAATATTCATATGTACCCACATACAGTTAAATATATTCTTAGGGAATTGAAATATTTACAATGTTAACATTATTTACATACAAGCATCAAAAAACTCCTCCGCATCATCGCCTACTGGTAGCATTGAATGGCAATGCTAATTCTGTAAGCGAGAGAAAGGTCTGCGTTCTGAGGGCTGAATGCAAGTTTATTTCACATCAAATCGCTCTCGACAGCGAGCGCGTTCGACGTTGCGATTGGTGCAGATTTCAGTGCTGACCAATCGCAGCGCCGAACGCTCTCACCGTGACGATCGAGTAGATGTGAAATAAACTCACACATATTTGCCGAAGCTAGGTTCTACCACCGTGGTTTGCAAAAATTAACTTTCAAAGGTACCCATTATACTCTTTTACTTTTAAAGGTGTGTTTCCAAAGTTCATTATAATAATAATACATCATACACACAGCCGTCTGATCCCGAACTAGGCAGAGCCTGTACTATGGTAACCAGACTGCTGATAAACATACTTATATATTTTTAAATACATACATATTATAGATAAATTACACCCAGACATAGAACAAATGACCGTGCTCGTCATACAATATTTGTCCTGGGTGGGAATCGAACCCACGACCTCCGGCTTAGCAGTCAGAGTCACTAATCACTCGACCAACAGTCCCGTCAGTAATACACGGAACAGTTAAGAAGAAAGCATTCAATAGTACTAGCTAGTGCCCGCGACTTCGTTAGCGTGGAATTTGAAAAGCTCACCCTTAGTTGGTTTGATTCCCGGACCGGGCAAAATTTTATAGAGTTTTTAGAGAAAATAAATAACCTAAGTTACTCCATATATAGACAGCTACCTGGTAGTAAAATATTATCAATATTGGTCCAGCCGCTTTAAAGATTAGCCGGAATAAACAGATAGACTGACAAAAAAATATTTGAAGAGGTTTTTAGGCATAGGTATCGTGTAAATAACCGTGTGAGCATGAAAACACCTATTATTTTGACATTACAAACAGACACTACAATTTTATTTGTTTGGATAGACTTTACAAATAAATTCAATCGAAGTGAATAGAAATTGAATACTATAGAGTATACATTAAGGAACGAACAATGAAAAGCCTTTTTCTTTTATAATTTCTAAAGCTCTGTACATTTTTGTTTAAACAAAAATGATGAAAACTCAATTATAAAGGCACCGCATTAAACTTGCAGGCAGTCTCGTTCCAACCCGATTTGGTTTTAATTATATTTCCCGTTTTCAATTACAAATAGCAAAACAAGAGAAAATTCACATGGAAATGCTTCAGTAAACGTTACGGAGGTATGTGGCTGGGAATGAAACATAAATAGAGGCCATATGCGATTATGGAGTCAGCTTTAATTGTTCAATATTCGTTTTGATAGCTTAAATATTTGCAATAAATGTTATTATGCACAATTGTAACTTGGAGCTTGTGTAAACTGAGTGGTTATTTTAATGTGTAATCATGTATTTTTGTAAAACGGTGTGTAGTTATTAAAGTGTACAATTTAATAATGTTAAGGCGGCTAATTGATATTATGGTACAGAAGTGGAAGAAGGCTGTGATGACTATTTCTGTCAATCAGGTGGTGATAGGCAATTTTAACTTTCTAAATTTAAAGAAAAGTCATGTTTAACTATTATTATCATTATATATTATTATTTAAAATTGTTTTATTGGTATCAACTAAGCACTGTATATTTATATGTTACAATTTTATAATACACAATAAGACCTTGAATTATATGAATTAAAATAGATATTTGTTTAATTAAATCCATACCTACACTCTTTTGTATTATTGCATCATAAAATATAAAAAAAAAACCACTCAACGAAAATTGATCAGAAAATATGTCTCAAAAACATTTTATCGAGAAAGTCTTTCAAACTATTTTTTTAACGAAATTTTCGCACCTAAACTTCAATAGGGCACGACCGACCGTTCTCAATGCCAGATAAAGGATGCTATAACTCATGATTACAGCAAAAATGTATCTAAGACCTTCTACTAAGGTCTTCAGAAAAGATGATAAGAAATTATTTAAGAAAAGTGACGCAAAGAAAATGTTTCCAAAATTTCAAGAGACTTGATAAAGTTTTAAGAATTCAAATATCGAAGGTAAAATGAGGCAGTTTTATTCAAAATATTGTTTTTTAAACATATTCCGGAAAAAATATTTGCACTATATTTTCTTTCCGTGAATAAGTGACCTTATCTGTGTCTATAACAAACAGTTAGCGTACAAGAAGCAATAAACACGAGGTCAACATTATTTGCATATTGCGCAATTATTGCGCTGATAACATTATTTGCATATTGAACAATATTGCGCTGACTACAGATAGATCTCTTCCGTCAAGAGTCATGAAGATGTCTTTAACTTTCCAAGTATATCTTTGAATCAGAAACATTCGACAGACCTCAGTTGTAAATTTAGTTTAACAGAATATAGTTAACTAGAGTTTACGTACATAGTCGGAAATATTAGATAGTTCCTGTCATCAAAAAAAAAGTTCCAAAAAGTCCGTACTAACTAACAAAAAACTTCTACGGCTCAGAAGAAAACCAACATCAATGAAATATAATATTTCACAACAGAAATCCTTGACCCATTCGTAACAATCGGAACAAGATAACGAACTTCTAAAAGTTTGAATTCAACAAAATTCTTTCATGAATCATTTACAACGGAGAGGCTTGAACTTTTAATTTTTACATTTTCTTAGAACAATTCTGGATATTTGAAATTCCCCTCTTTTTCGAGTTCCTTAAAAAGAAAAAAAAAACTGTCATCGGCCGTTTGCCGTTGTTGAAATCTTAAGGCGTAGAATTATTTAAAGAAAAAGTAAGGGAGGTAAAGGAAATTTTAAACTGACTTTTAAATAATCATAACAAATAATTGAATCTATTTTTGGATTCTGATCTTGGTCTATTTAAATATGTTATAAGAAGCTTAACAATTATCTTATCTTGTTGGCTCTAGATTTATAATCTACTAGCCAATGTTTATCAATGGCTCCATTCTGTGTTCTGGTAATTTTTGAACGCAGGACCTTCCATGCCTTTTTGTTATTTAGATGCCCCTTCTTAATGTTTTTTCTGGGATTAAATAACGTTACTGCATACCGTGAGGAGTAAGCCTAAGCTGAAAGACAACCCTTCTGTAAGTACCCTGGACACCCTACGAAAATAAATCAGGTCGTATAGTTGAAACGTGTTCAATTCGTGTGAGAGCCTCTTAAGACCATCAATGTCTTTCTGGTATGGCACATGACTATACTGTACATAAGAAATTATGCAATAAATTGTAAGTACTACAAAAAGATACTGTTACTTTAACTTTGATAATTTTGAAAACCCTTTTCATAACTGAACCTCATTTCGATGAGTGCTACGGGGCGCTACGAAATCCTACATATCAGCTACGCGAATGCTACGTTTAAAATTTGTACAGGAACTTTTGTGTTAATGAATAGGTATTAACAGATTATATTGTAGGTCTGAACGAGTATTTTGTGATAAAGAAAATATAACGAAAAACCGATTTTAAGACTTATTGTTTTATTTCATCTTCAAAATTTTGTATTTTCAGTTGGATTTACACCAATATAATTTGCTTAATTGGTAAGAACGAATACTCACTATAGTTTTAATTCAATCACATTGACTATCACAGCTGAATATTCTTGACTTCCTAAAACATCCATGACCAAGGCGTTTATTTTTTATAGTATTATATTATCCTGTATGTACATTCTTTGATACATGAAATTTGGCATAAGAGAAGAATTTAAAAGTTTCTTTTTATCAATTTAAAATGTTTACTTCTCTGTATTTATAAAATTATTCAAATAAAGATATAGAAGAATAGAAGGTCTTTGAACAACACCCACGAATACTCATTAGCAGCGGAATCTTAGACAGATTTCTTTAAACGAGCCTATGGTATATCCATACTTTGATAACATTTAGTTCTTAATCACAATATAAGATGTTGAACTCACGGTTGGTGTCATTGAACCCATGTGGTAAGCGTGACGCGTTCATGTTTACTGTCGCTCGTCCTCCTGAAATGAAAAACAACAATGTCATTGACCTAAAATACATGTTCAACCAAAGGGAAAATGTGTTCATATTCTATGAAGTGTGTCAGGACGAGGAGTATACTCGCTTTGTAGATAAAACTAACATGTAGGACACTTTATCTCATATTTAGATAGAGTAACTTCTAATATTTTATTTGCTCGGCCTCGGAAACATTTTTTCGAGACGAATGGTATTTGTACAATATGTAAACAGCATTACACGATTTTTTAATAAACGGTTAAGGCGTGAAAGTTATACACCCAAAGCATACCGATTTTGCATTTATTATTGTTTGAAATTAGTGAGGATATAATTCCGATTTCTTTAATGATCAGAGCGTAAAAATCTCCTCTTCATCATCATCATCAACAGCCTTTACTAGTCCACTGCTGGACATAGGCCTTTCCTTAGGAAGGAGGTTTTGGCCTACTATACCACGCTGGCCAGACGGGTTGGTATAGTATATAAAAATCTCCTATGGTTAATAAAATATACAACGTTTCAAGTGAGATAATGATGGAAGAAATAGATACGGCAAAGAAAATCCTCATCAGTATAATTTCAAGATTTTACTTTGTTACATACAAGCGCACGTAATAAAACCGTTCTATTATTTGCTCATAGAACAACAGTTCAGTCTGGTAAAGAGTATATCTACTACTATTACTTTAGATTGCAATCATCCAATTTGTTAAACTGAACAAGGGATCCCGAGAAATACAGAGGTACAAATGGAAAAATAATACTTAGTTCTAGATTGACTAAAATCCAATCAAAATTAAATATTTTCTACATTTTTTATTAAATATTTTACCTCTGTTATGAAAAAAATAATCAGATGTTATGGAAACAGATTTCTAAAAAAATGGTCCAACAAATCGAATTCCCTAAGTTTCATATACATTTTGCGGAGAAAAACCTTTGGCGGCCAAATATCTAGGGGCCGAAGAAGTGTCAAAGTTTAAGTTCTTGTTATTGAAATTTGTATGGCACCTTTAAGAAAACTTTTAACTGAAAAACTTAGGAGTCGTTGCCTATCCCTTCTATCGCTTTTCTCTGAGGGCTATATAGAGATACAGTCTCTGAAACAGGGATTATAAAGTGAAATCACCGGTGATTTCACTTTATAATCCTTGTTTCACTTTACATTCATTGCTCATTACACCCAACCAATACCCGATTAGCACCTCGTCACTCGGTGTCGACTTGTTGTCGACGGGTGGTCCAGGAGTGGTTCACGGGTGGACGCCGCGTTGTTAACCCGCGGGCACTCCTGTAAGGCGCTCCGAAGTTGATGTAGTGAGCGTATACCCATAGTAATCCATACAAATAATGCTAACCGCTCGAGGCGAACCGAGCTATAACATTTATACTGTTTCAAGAATCAGTAATAAAACGAAATTTTCAAATATTGTAATCGTTACTAAATCAGGTGACCCGTCTGCTCCTTTGCCCCCTCTTCCCAAAAAATAATAATAAAGCAGTAACTTTGTTTGCATCGTATAGGAATATTATTCCAATACGCTGTAATATCTGAATCTTTCTTTGTGAGGATCGTGTACCCGATCTCAATTGATGTGTAGTAATCTGGTAGTTTTTACATCTGGAATGGAATTTTAGATGGTAAAAAATATTCTACCAGTATTAATTCAGTACAAGTTAGCTATGGCCCCTTTAAGCTATAAGTACCGTGAACAGCTTACTATTAAGAAGGGAATCATTACTGTGGGAAAGCCAGGCTTTGGCACATATGGGACAGCTCTACCAGGGTGATACCACGGACTTAACTGGTACTAAGTAATTCTTTCGTTCCTTTTGAATAAGATTGCTGGGGTACAAATCCTTACCCACCTTATTTTTTAGGCGGCTGTAGTAACTTACCATCAAGAGACCCGTCTGCTTATTTGCCTCCAATACTATAGAAAAAGGCATGAGCTTATTTGAAAACTTAATTCTTGAAATAAATTTTTAGTACAAATGCATACCTCAACACATTTTCCAGAAGGTTTTGGTTGTTTGCTACATTAAGAACAATAAAATAAAAGCCTGTTGTTTCAACCGCCACAGAGGCATTAATACTGTTACGAGTGGGGTATGCAATAAAAAAAGTAGTCGGTTAATTATTAAAATTGCACTGTATTTAGAAAAACTCACTATTACAACAACAAATCACTATATAATTCGTTAGTCGCACTAAAACTTCGCTTCGATGTCAATTCGCTGTGTCATAAAACGATACTGTCCGGTACGGCCAACACATTGATTTTATAGTGCTTTCGAATTAACTAGACTAACCCCGAATATTCAATGGAATGTTCCAGACCGAACTACGTACAATAAGGTATCTAGAAATGTCTATAATCTTCCGATATTTGATACTAGATGGCACTACAGGCAAGTATCGGAATTAAGAACAATAATCTTAATGCGTAGCGTTGTGCCCTACTTGATACTAGATGGCGATGTCCTCCAGACACAACACAAAAACAACCTAATCCTATGGCGCAAAAATACAAATGGTTCGTGACGTAAGTTAAATGAATGAAATGATCGTATGAAGACAAAAGCTGAAATCACTTTCCTAGTTTTTCTAAAAAGAAATCACTGGCTCAAATCACAACAATGGCTCTGTTTGTAAAAGTTAGCTTTTACAATTATTATTAAAAGAGGTCGGGTAGAGTTTTAACATAAAAGATTTATGTGGGACTATCATTTGCATCAAATTTTCAAATCAATGAGTTTTTAATAATTTCGTTACCAAACACAATGTTGAATACAGTAAAAAAACAACCCAAAAAAAACATTCATAGAAGAACTCGTAATTATACTTTAACGCTCACATTATCAGATAAAACACTCTTAAAGTAATATATTACTTATATTTTTTTATAATTTAAGCAAATAATACATCTTAGTGATACAAAGATATAATTTGAGACGCCGCCTATATTGATGCCTGTACTCCCTTTGGTACAGACAATCTGTTTTTTCCAGCCCTAGGGAAATACAACAAAAATAGGTTTTTGCTTTCAACAAATTCCTCACGTTCTCTTATGTCGAATCATTTGTATAGCTATGTAACATGAATATATAAGAATTTCGGGTTAAGGCCTCAGCTTCGCCGGGAATTGCTAGTTCCCGTAACACTAGACGGACGTCAACTGTTAGAGCTATTTTTATTTATTTATTTTATTTTAATACTTTATGCACAAGTATTGGTTGTACAATGGCGGACCTAATGACTAAGCAATATTTCTATCCGACCTATCCTTTTACTTGACGTTAATTTTTTAATATTCACCCAACTATCCCATTTAATCCTTAACGGACTCTTCATTTGACAAGCATGGGCTTGCTCTCTGGTGAGGCGCGGCGTTGATCGAGGTGGACCTTAAAGGTTCATCATAAGGTCCGTGTTCTCCTCAGAGTAGGAGGCCTGAGGCCTTTCAGGGTGGTTTTAAGTAGCAACACCGCATGATCCTGACTTGTTCATCGCTGCGATGGCTTCCCCAAAGAGCTGGAGATCCGAAACGATTTTCCATCCCGTCAACAAAAAATAAAAAGCTTTCTCTCTATACGAAATAAGTGGTACTCAAATCATAGATGACAAAATGTGGTGCCCAAATATTTTTGCATAAGTATAGTATAACTCACAGTGTATGTATGAATATAAAAATTAACAAATGATCCTTCTCTAGATTCATTAATGAATGTCACATGGGTTGATCATCCACTTGTTCCGAATCCATTCGCAAGAACATGACAAAATAGAACACTTCACACTCGTGCTATGCAGCCTCGTACGATACACAAGTGAACTATTCACGACAGCTAATTAGAAATTCCAATCATTGCGCTCTATTCTTGCAGTGAACTGTCATAGTTTTGCTGTATCGTAGCCGTGTAGATGAGATATGGTAACTATTGACATTTAAAAAGAAAGTTCACACCGTTCAAACCGGTGTACGTAGCATTATCACAATGATTAACGGTCATGTCACATAGGCTTTTCTTCATCATCATCATCATCATCATCATTAACAGCCTTTAATAGTAAACTGCTGCTTTTGGCTTTTCTTCATTAAACGCAAAGTTGAAATATGTTTTAAAAATAACAACTGTGACGTCATATTACGAAAAATCATATCTTTTTGACAGAGCAACACGATACGCGCGATTAAACATTTCACATACGGCCGTCTGATCACCAACTAGGCAGAGCCTCTACTATGGTAAGTACGCTGCTGATAAACATTATTTTCTGTATATTTCTAAATGCACACATATTTACTGACGTTTTTCGATTACATTCTCAGGATATGCTGTATTTAACACAGATCAGAAAACTTACATAATAAAATGGAATTGATATATAATCAATAATCATAGGAGTATCCTCAGATTCATCTCAATTATTTTTATAACACTTAACTCACCATAATTTAACCAATCAAGAAATATAATTACTACACGATTTTTATTATATTTCTGCTCGAATTCAAACTATTTAGCTGCAAAAGTTATAATTTTAAGGATTACCGATAAGAAAAATTAAGCTTGATTATTTTTCTTAAATCTTGCAGCTATGGTAAGTACACAAGTTACGAGTTTATCCGACACCGAAGCCTTTATACTGCCGGTTTATTATCTAAAAGCGTGATCAAACAGTACATAAATTCTTGTTGTATGATTGGCAGAAATCCATTGGATGAAACAAGTCTGTTAATGCTTTAAAGATCGGAGTCCTACGGTGGCAGGGCAGATGAATTTCCGCAAATATTACGAGTATTTAAATTATTATCATTTAATATCAAAAATAGAAAATGACGGACATTAAATAATGATATATCGTAAATATTAAGAGTTGCCTGGTACTTAATCGGGAGCAACACAATTTGCACTAGCAGAGGTAACTAAGTCGAGTGAATAAAACTAAAACTTTTCACTTGTTTAAGAATATT